ACACCAGCAGAAAAAAGTGTTACTCACCTGGCAATAATTTTTTGTACAACTCCAGTAGAACTGTCGTCAACTTGCGGTACTTCAACCTGCATCTTTCACTTCCAGGTAACGGATTTCGCTTTCAAGCTGTGCTATCGTTTTGGTCTTTGCCCTTTTTCGGTTAGCTGGCTGCTGATGTTACTGACGCTAATGGCTTCTACTGATGCTACTACGATAAGTGATGGCCGTTGTTGGTGTTGGCCTGTTGCGTTGTCTAAGCGCAATTCACAGCAACAACAACAACACCGACCGTGTAGCTTCGGCAGCTTAAACCACCTTCGACCGGCTCCCGTTTGCTTTTTGGTGTGCACTTTTGCCCTTTTAATGTTCACCCCATAAATACATAAGGTTTGCCTTTGGCTTAGGACGATGATACTTCACAACGTATTTCTGCTTTATATCCATTGAAATTGATGCTATACACAATATTATCATCCTTGCCCTCATCCTTCCCTTCTCTTCCTCCTTCTGCTCCTTCTCCTCCTCTCCATTATCATTATCAATTACACTGTTACCTTCATCTCCATCACCAATCGCAACCAAAATGTTACACAGTTGCGTTTTGATGCTGCTATTGCCAACAAATAGAAATAGACAATCTTTTTTAATAGATCAGCATTTACCCTCTTTTGCTTCTTCCAAATTTTTTTCTGCTTACTCATTTTACTCACCAGTTAAACCGCTTTCAGCAGCTGTTCATTTTCAGTCTTTTGCCAAATTACGGCAAACTGCTAAAAATCAACTGAAATAACTCATTAAGTACAGGAAAAGACATGTGAGAAAAGATTTCCAAACAGCTGACTAATAATGTGAAAAGCAACGAAAACTTTGTTTCCATTTATTTATTTAATTATTCTGCTTTTTTTTTCTTTTTTTTTTTTGTTTGCAGCACAAGAAAAATTTAGCGTATCTTGCAAGAAAAAAAAAATTCCACAGGACAGCAGAGAAATGAAAAAGAAATAAAAAAACAGAAAATCAATGCACAAACAAAAAACAGCTGTGCTTCGCTAAATTAGGACAACACGTGAGATAGGTTTTTTTTTTATTACACCTTTCTTTGACATTTTTGTTCTTCCAGTTTTCTCTGTTTCTTTATTTTCGGTTCGGTTCGGTTTCTTTGTTTGTTTGTTTCTGCTATGATGTCATTACAATTATAAAGAAAGTGAGATAAACATTTTTTGCAGCGTTCAAAAATCTTTGTAACTTTCACCGCTAAAGAAAAAGGACTTTTGCAGCGGAACAACATAACTGTT